ACCAACTTTGGTTGCAAAACGTACAAGTTTGTTGTTCTTTATTTTACCAACTTTCGTTGTTAAACGAACAAGTGTTGTTGCTTTTTTCACTAACAATGAACGTTAAACGTACAAGGGTTGTTGCTTTTTTCACTAACAATGATGTAATAAACTGCTTACTGCATCGAATGCGTTGGAAATAAGTTACATGTTTTTCATAAAGGAGGTTGGAAGATGCTTCAATCTATAGAGAGATTAGATAAGTAAATAAGTAGTGTTAAATGTATGGTAGCTTACTTGGGCTCAGACAGAAATAACCAGTGCGTATTAGAGGAATTTTTAACGCTAAACTGGTGAGGCACTAAAGGAAAACGTAAAGGTTTAAGACGTGTACCATTTAATCTTTGAATAAACCGTACATAACAATAGCTTCCAAAGAAGACAAAAAAGAAGCCAGAAAAAGCTGATGTATCTATAAACATACGTGAGGTAGAGCGCATTAGTTCCTTCTATACGAGCAGTCAATCAAGAAAAACTTACCGTAATCAAAACTTGCTTTCCCTTTGTAGCTATGAGCCTAATAGAGTCTTCATATCTTGAATTATAAGAGCGTTTTTCAGTCTACTTTAGCCTGACTACGGAAAAAGTGGTAGTTAGGATAAGTCTAACAGAAATTAAAGAATGACTCTTACAGATGACATGGAAGCAAAATGTAACCAAGGCGTTGGAATGACGAATAAACTTCCTTTTGACACTAAATAAAAAACCAGCATCATTAGTACAGACAAGCAATACAGTAGGGGGGGGGGAGGTTACAATGGCTACAGAGTTTTATTTTATTTTTTTAAAAAAAAAAAAAAGTAGAAAAAAGAAATAGAAAGAGGGAGTTCAGACTTGGGAAGACGTTTTATTTTAATATGTGACTAATTTTTATTTTTAGTACTAGTATTGTTTGCGACCGTGTTTTGGCTTAATGATAGCGTCTTCGTCATCACTGTCTTCATATTTGCGGATGATTCTATTAGGTTTTCTCCGTTTTTGAGGAGCCAAAGAAACAGGGGAAGAACGACCGGAAGCATCAGCAGAGTTAATGGCAGAGGTAGTGGCAATGGTGGGACGAGCAGAGGTAGTGGCAGTGGTCGGACGACCGGAAGCATCAGCAGAGTTAATGGCAGAGGTAGTGGCAATGGTGGGATGAGCAGAGGCAGTGGAATTGTTTTGGGTGGTGGGTAGATCATAATAGCTATAATCCGGCTCACCACCAGAATCAGATATGTATTCTTGAATGTATTGGTTGTACATGTTATTAACGTCATCTTTTTCAATTGCATTCTCTTCCCTCGTTTGTTCGGCAATACGTTGATTGATACTTTTTAAATGAAATAATAATGTTAACGTTAAGACAGAAATATGGTCATAACAAGTTACCTGGGTGAAGGGTTGTTGTAGACAACAGCCCTAATTCGTGCTCTGTTGCTTCGATGCTTGTGAGTTTCAAATAACAAAAGCGTAGCAGCCCACGAGTTTATACACTGATGCAGTGGATAGCCATGACTATTTGCATTGTTTTCCAACATGAACGCGTATTTTGAAAGTAGTGAGGAAGAGACTTTTGACCAAACAGGCAAAACTTGTGGTAAATCTTTACTTCGCAGGTGCTTCATAATTTTGTCTGCCATATCATCGTGAGTTTTTCTTGCAAGAGACTTAAGAATGGCATAGTGCTGCAGGTTAAGTTTGTCCTCTAATTGCAGATTTTTGTTTCCTTGTTTTTTGTTAAAATAGTTTAAAAGAGCGAGCAAACGTAAACGAGGAGTCGGGAAGCAATTTTGTCTTGTTTCTTCTTGTTTCTTTGTTGCTTCTTCAAGAACCTTTGGAATATTACGCTTACCTAAAAGATCTGGATTCAACGAGTTGGCAATACCTGTTGTTTTTGCTGTACGTCAATAATAATTAAGTCAGTGTTATCATATAAAAAAAATGGTCATGAAGCGCAATAACATTTTATGTCTACCTTGCTGACTTGCTTCAAGAATATGAGAACTTAAATTGCTGTTACTTGGATCAGCAAATGATGGAGCTAAAAGTTGAGCAAGATCCTTGAGCAGATCGTTTTGACGGTCCAGTTTGTCATGCAAATCAGATATGCTCTCTTCCAATTTGGAGATTCTGAAGTTAGTAGCAGTGTTATTCATAAATCTAAAAAGGGTTGAGGTGAGTATTCAGTCATGACGGTTTTTAAAAAAGAGTTTACGCCTGCAAAGTTTTTTAAAGATGAACAACGTACTAAATAAGTAACTGCCTCTTTATATACGCTTGTAAAAGCTAAAATTCTGACTCATTTGTCATTCATACCAATTGACGGATTCGAAGGATTTTGGATAATGAAGATAATATGTTTTTGTTTGTACCTGTTCACGTTTGACTGGATTCAGCCACAAAATAAAAAATTGCGTCACGACTGAAAAACAAATGCCATATATTAATAAAAAAATAACAATTTATTACCAAAAGCATTATTTCATAAATTTGCCATAAACCATAATATCATAAAGATCAATACCAATTGCCTAAAATATGTATCTTTGGAGTATCAGGTCGTGAAACCAATGATGACAAGCAATCACATCAAATCCAGTTGTTTTAAATCCGCGAAAAAAATTGCATACAAAGAACTACATAAAGAAAAAAAAAATTCCAAAAAATATACATACTCTTTAAACTTTTTTACCATCCATTTTAAATCATGTCCACTCCACGTATTTACAACAGGCATACTTGTTCTTGTGCAATGCCTTTTGCTAGTTTGCGTCTTCTTAATAGTCATTATCAAAACACCCAGATCATAAAATAGTTGACACTGATGTTATCATGCAGGAAGCCGAAATTCCTATGCCTTCTGTTAACCCTCGTAAGCTATATCCATATAAATCGACTTTTCATTAACACCAGTTCTAATATAACACACAACGTAATTGTTAACTTCCTAGCTTTATCAACTGATTCAGTACCTTATCGTTCTTCTTTCACTTTCGATGCAGCCCACGGCGAAGAGCATGTATATGACTATGGTCAAGATCCTAGTTTCGATGAAACTGAACTCAACAGTATTCAGTTTATGGATATTGTTGAGACATATGGTATTTCCAGAGAGGCATCCAGAGAGCTAATTTATCTCTTTCGAACAATTCTTCAAAATAATTTGGAAGGAGCTATATTTGAGGATGGTGAGCTGTATATCGATAAAAATAAATGAAACGTCTTATTAATAAAAGCTTGATTTTCTTTTTGCATAATTAAGAAAAATACCTTCAACAATTCTATTTCAAGATACATTAGATAGAAGACTTGCAGGAAAAGTGAACATTAGGAGTCATCTTTACGATATATGTCCCAAAGGCTGTCGACTCTACCAAAAAAAACGACGATGAAACTTTGGATTGTAGTAGCTGTGGTGAGCAGAGATATGCTAATGCAATAACCGAAAGACCTGCTCGACAAATGAAGATGATGTCTGTCGGTGACCGGATCGCAAGCGTCTTGGCAAATGACAGATTCCGTGAATTGATGAAGTACAGACACAATTACCAATATGAAGACGGTGTGTACAAAGATTATTTCGATGGAGAAGAATACCGGTCGCTTAAGACAAATACAAACTTTTTTTCTTCAGAAGACGATGTTGCATTAGCACTTTTTTCGACTGGTTCCAGCCTGGTAAAGCAAAGACAGGCGACAAACTTTCGATGGTGTATTAAAACCTGTCCAACACTATCTGACCCATGTGCCAATGATGGCTGAGAAGCAGGGCGTCTTGAAAGCCTATTCGGGTAGGTCAATGGAGAGAACGATTGGCCGTTACAAGAAGTTGATTAAGTCGAAGGTAAATGCTGGTGCCAATGCTGGAAATGTTCTTGAACGATTTGCTGTTTATGGCCATGTAAACAGTTTAAATATCAATTTGAAGGAGACTTTAAACCTCATTTAAACCCAAAAAGCGAACAACAAACGACTTCGTTTCCCTTGATCCCAGTGATGACACCGCCCCCGAGCTCTGGTCTCCGCTGTTCCAGTGTCCTGTGTCTACCCTTCCTTGTGGTGTATCTGATAGACAATTTACATCTGCTCTACAAAGGTATTACCGAAGAGAATATTCCGGTCCCCACGAATTTGTCAACACAAGTAGTGGTGTAGTCAATGGCGCCGGTCGGGCCTGGTTTAACGATCTTGTGTATACGTCCTCTTTTTTCAGAGATCATATCAACGAACGAAGGAGAGGTAATAATTATGTCATGTTTGCTGTATCCCATCTAAAGTAGGTTTGGTTGGTTAGGATTATTGGGTCATTATTTAATCGTACTGAAGGTTTTTTTTTTTTTTACCTACATAGTCATCACAACAATTTAACGAGTCAACTGTATGTCGGTTCCATCACCTTCTTTTTTGAGACCACTTTAGATGGTGTAAATGACTTTCTTGTTTTAATCGATGTGGCTGAATCACATGGAGTAGTAGATTACGTCAGGCTCATGCCAAAGGTGGTCTTACGTCGTTCTGGTCAACATAAGTATGTTGTTTGTCGTTTCAATGATATCGTTTGTAACGTAGGCCTTGTCCGATACACCGTGGCTGAAAATCACTACAAAGTCATATCGCATCAGATTTTCAAAGAGTTGCTATACTCGAAGATGGGGAATGCAAGTAATCTTTAAATTATAAAAAAATAAGGCGAAGGATCGCCAGCTGTCTAACATTTCATAAGTTGCCGTGAAGGAGGGAGGGGATAATTTTATAAATTGAACGCAGAAAATTGTTTTCACATATTAAAAAAAAAAAAAAAAAAAAAAAAAGTACTTAAATCAATTTACCGTGATTTAATGAGAATTGCAAAAAAGAAATGGAGACAATACTATGTAACTTTGTTTCGACTTTTCTTTCGTAATTTTTCTTGAGATCTAATCGAGGTTTAAGATCATCATTAAGAGTTGTTTGTTACTAAACGTTATGACTTGGTAGTCGATATTTATTATATATATAATTTAAAAGTCATATTGTTGCTTGTGTTGATATTTATAGTGCTATGTATGTGGTTATTTATAGAATAATATTTGTACGACTCATGGGGTTTGATGCCTTTGCTCAGAGTATTCAATCATATCAACAGCGTCAAGGTTCACACCAAATTTTCTTTTAATTCTGACAGGTAG